TGGGTGGCCCAACGCGAAAGAGGAATGTTCCGTTAACGCTTTCCAAACCGCTAGTCTGTCTTTCGAAATGCTGAGGTTAAGAGCATTTCGGGACTTGAAGCTCCACCTAAGCGCAGTTGGGGAGAGGAATGGCTTGATACGTGCAAGATGGGCCATCTTTCGAATGACACTTCCGAGATACGACTACTCTCTAATGCAGCATTAGATGGGACGTTTTTCGGCGAATGCCACTCTAGTTGTCCAGTTCGACGTAATTTTATCCCTGCGAGTTGTGTTGATGCTCACTCAACATATATGACTGACAAAAAACGAAAGTTACGAGGATTTACGCTGAGCAACACGGACAGAAATAGTAACGTCCAATACCGGATTCGCTCGAAACCTGAAACACATGTCGATCCCGTTGGAGGTGATTATATATTTTGAAAAAATTATGATTCATCCGGTCAAAAGCCGGGAACTTGAGGCGACCGTCGCGGTTACGACGGGCTAAACCGTCTGAAATCTCATTCGGTAGGGTTCGGACATGCCAAGGCAAAAGAGGACAGCCCGAGTCCACATTACGGGTGAGCATATTACGAGGCAATCTGGCGGTAAGTTGTATTGTCCCCGGTGGGACGAGATGGCTCAAGTGGTTGGGGCGCGAATTTACTGACCAGAAGGTCCGTGGTTCGAACCCGACCTCTGCCTCCCGACCTCCCCTGTTTAGGCTTGGGCAATCTGGCAGTATTCCAGCCCTCGTGCTTCCTTCGGGTAGCGTTGCAGCTAGGCACCGGTAGGGTGTTACAGCTGAGCGATTTTTTTTATTTTATGAGTACTGCATTACGGATACACTGAGCTCCTGATTACGAAGAATGTATAACCGAAAAAACAGCAACTTGCCGCTTCTTCCTTGCCCTAGGCGAGTCGCGAGGGATATCATTCGACACAGGCGGTCCACCTCTAATGATCCTCACTTGAACCCCTTCGCAATCCCTAAACTAATTCGCCCCGGTTTAGTCGGCTATTAGCCACTTGACTGTTTTAACTATTTCCAGGCTAAATAAACCAACTGTCTAAGCCCTGATGATCGTACCAGTGCTGCATTTTACAATATTCACACTGACGTGTTGGTTAGCAGTCGTCCCATTGTGAAACCAGGGGTGTGCATGGCGTCTCATGCGCATCAAACCGCTCCTGGGTCATGTGGTGACCCTAACACAAGGGTTTGTGATGTTTATGTCGTTAGAGGGCTCAATGGGCTTTTTGGGTTAGATTACAGCAGCATCCTTCGCCAGTGATTTGGCAATAAGCGATGTGCTTACGCCAGCATTTGTTAGTAGGCAGCGGGGAGCCTAAGGCCCTTCGATCAGATGGCTGACAGTCAAATGGCCCAGCGACGTTCGCTTGTGCGGTGGGAAGGGGTTGGGGAGGGACATTGGTGGACGCTGAACTGCGCGGGCTAATGATACTTCCCGGTTGCCCAGGCCGAGGAAGGGGGTTTGGTTGAGTTACCCCACCTTGAGCCTTCGACTCCAAAGTCTGACCCACAAGGCAGTGGGAGGACGTAGGGTTTTGTTCGGGGACCCTGATCCTAGCTTTTGACACAGAAGTGTGACACACGAGGCAATGGGAGAACGTAAGCGAGCATACGTCCGACATACCACGAAGTCGGTAAGACGGCTTGTCAGCAAAGAGCACCAATATGGTTTGCTGGACAGCCAGATCGGTAGAAGACCCAATTCGACGCTAGATTCGCAGTCAATGGCCCTGGGGGCGAACTTCCAGAACAAGCATCCACAAGCGCTAACGGCGAACCAGATATGGAAGACCCTTTTGGATCGCGTCGTCATCAGCTTTTGGTGGAAACCGGTGATTGTAGATTGTTGTTTATTTGGAGTAAACAGCATACTGCACAGGCCAGGCTTATCATTTCGGAGATTTCACAGGACAACGTAGGGTCCTCACATTATGACCTTGAGCGTGCTCCTTTAGCTAAGCAGTTTCGGGTCGACCTATGTGGAAAGCTGTTGGAAACAAACAGACACAGGGAAAATGAAGTCCACTGGATGAAACATGGGCGGGAGTGGAAGGAGGAACCCACTGCCTGACTCGAACTAATCAGAAATGGTTACCGTGAGAAGTGGTCCTTATTGATATGAAAAACCCATACTAGAGACTACGAACTGCGATTGCACATCACACAAATTCCAGATGGCCAAGAGGTAAAAGTTCGATGGGAAGAGCCCTTCCAGGAGAAACGGAGCGCGCGTTTGCTTCAAGAAACGATTGTGCTCTAATTCAGTTGAGTCGATAAACTGGCCCAATTGGGATTAGTGTCAAACAGACAGGTTGCCAATACAGAACAGTGATCTATTCGCTGAGTAATTGTCTTGGAAGATGGACCAAGCAGTTCAGGGAAAACTTCGGCTTGAGACAGCTCAAAGGCTAAGACGCCAGCTTACGAACCGGAAGGTCCGTAGTTCGAACCCGACCTCAGCATATAGACTGCTCCTTTTTGGGTTCGGGCAACCCGACGGCCAATCCCAGCCCTGGTGCATCCTTCCATTGGCATAACATCCAGGCGCTGAAAAGGTGCTACAGAGGAACGCTTTTTTCGGCTTTTTCCTTCATCACAAGCTCTAGAAAGACCCAATGAACTAGCACCCCCCTTGTAATAAAAAACATCATGGGACATCGCTGCTCGAACGAAATAAGGTGCCCGGTCCGGACCGTTTGCATCCTGCACTCCTCTGGGATGGTAAACAGTCCGGTGGGGTTACTATAGACTATGTGGAATGACGGAGGAATACCAGTGGAATGAGGCACGTTGATGGTGATTGCAATGTTCAAAACCAAAGCGAAGATAACTGTGGGATTAACGTGCAGGCAGTCTCGTGTGCACGTTGACCGGTTGCCGAAAGCGATAAAATCATGCAAACTAAGCTGGGCTTTTCTCTTGCTCGTGCATCCAACCTGTTGCCTTCAATGCATGGCTCCCTTCCAGAATTCCTCGGGTGAAAAGTTCGTTGACACGCCGGTATTTAAGTGCCAATTAAACCAGGTCCCGCCTCCGATGCACAGCTACTTACCCCACTTCCCTAAATGCTCGGTGGACGAAACTGTGGCAGCTGGGACCATTGCACAGCAAGTACGCGGTTCTTACAGCTGATTTTGATAGTGACGCCCACATCTTCACAGTGCAAAAGGTTCCTTTAAACGACCAGAAGCAGACATTTTTCAAAATGACTTTTGACTATATCGATCACCGAAACTATGGTAAAGCTTGGCGACCAAAGTGCATTGACAAAGTTCTCGTACCTCAAGAACCCACTAGATGGCGAGTCCTATGAAGTTTACCACGTCCAAAAACAGTTCAGCTGTAGCACCCTTTCGGTGCCTAGTTGCCAAGCCACCCGATGGAAGCACGAAGGATGGGATACTGCCAGGTTGCCCAAGCCTAGACAAGCGAAGTCGAGAGGTAGAGGTCGGATTCGAACCAGGGACCTTCCGGTCAGTAAATTCGCCCTCCAGCCACTTGAGCCATCTCGCCCCCAGGAAGCCTCCGATAAGGAGGAAAAAAGGAACGGATGGAGTTATTGCAGACAAACCCTACCTGCCTATGGAAAACTCTTCAGAACAAAGCATATCTTCTAGCATCGTGTTGGAGTAAAACACTTTAGATGGTACCACAGATAGAAGCGTTGCATACAAGGCACGCACAACTACGGACAGCGTTTAGGTACAATGTTCTGTAGAGTTTCCAGCCGTGTGTGGACCACTGTCAAGAAGGCGACAGACCCCAAGCGCTCAACTTGACACTCAACAGTATTCCAAGAGTTGAGAATCTAGTTTTCTGTTGACTGAATGAGCAAAAGTTTCAAAAGTTTCACCAGCCAACGAAAGCATACTATAACGTTGCAAAAATGAGTCTCACAAGATTGAGACTTATTTGGCCGTCACGGAGAGACTGAAGTTTGCCGTGGTGTGACGGTTGGCGCACCTCAGCGATCCATCGAGCTATATTGGGGAGTGTCCCCGTGACACTCACACAGTGTCTCATACCAGGTTGGTCAATGGTCAGACGTCTGACAAACACAGTCTCCTGGCCCCCGGATTGGGGGTTGGAACACGTGCCAACTTGTTCCGTAGGAATTTTATTGCATTTGCATTTCCACCCCCCCAAATACCGATGCCTTGCGGTTAGGCTTTTGAGGCCAAAGGCTTTGGTTGAGAACCCTAATCGTCCTCCTGTCTAGGTGTGGGCGCCCTGGCAGTATCCCAGCCCTCGTACAACCATGACATTCAAGACTAACGCACGGCAGTGAAGCATCGGTGTCATGCTGTCGGTGATGATGATACTTATTTGGAACCCAGTACACAATGCGCAAGCCCGAAATCACGTGGCCATAAATAATGAATAAATGTAGGCATAGATACGCACAAACAGCAGTGAAAAACTCACTTCAAACCTGGCGCCATGAGGGATCAACGGATAGCTGAACTGTGCAAACAAGGCTTGAACAAGCGGGATGCAGAGATCTTGTTAGTTCACCTGAAACAGGCTGGATGATTGCACAGCATCGCGAAAACTGCGTCGGTGAAGCGAAAATCATACAGAACGTAAATGAAATCAAATGCAGCGTCCAAGCCGACTGAAAACAAGCAACGGTCCTAATCCAGTGGGTCGTATCAGATCGATTCGAGCAGACGATCGTCAAAGGTAAGACGTGAAAGGCGAAAGAGAATACGCATATGTACAAAGAATAAAAGTGCACGCAGGTCGACAAAGTACGTACGTTGTTCAAGGCAAGTCATGGGTCAGAGAAAAAAAGAAACACATTCATTCGTGTGTGACGGTCGAAAACAAGCCGAGTGAAGCAAATAACGAGAAAACACAAAATCTGATCAGTGGTCATTGGGGAATGACACGATTCCGAGAAAAATTCAACACTATGAAACATACAGTGTAAAACCAGATCGCACCAGAAGATAAATAGTACGAATGACGAACTGTGGCCTTAGACCAGACCGAGTCCCGAAGACGGTGGTGCGGTAGGTACTGCATTCGTACCACCCATAGAGTTCACGAAACCCGACTGTTGGGCACTGACCGATGAGACTGGTTTTGTCCCAGGTATCCAACCTGCCCCATAACTTGTAACCGGAGCAGCAGAGCCGTCAGGTGGAGCTGTCGCCGTGACGCCAGATGGGGCACCACGTGAGGCCCAACAGCTGGTAGTTGTGGTGTCTTGATTGAAAACAAACGGTTGGCCAGGATGATTAGACGGTGGGACTCTGGGTAACAAGGGGACCGAGCCAGGGCTAGGGGCAACGTGCACTCCGAGCGTGTTTGGACCGACAAGCCGATGTCGATGATCACCAGCGAGACCAGTGACAGTTGGATCATGAGAACCACAACAACCGCGACGTCTGCAAAGACGAGAAAAAAACCGTTGCCAGGATAAAAGTGTTTTTCCACTCCAAATCCATATTCCACTGGTGATTCCCACGATCAAAGTCATCAGATATTTGATCATGAACAGCTCGAATTCCGGTTTGTCCATTGCGGACCATTTGGCCAGAATCGCCTCCCCACTGTTGGCCGAACCTTGTCCCGCGGTCACTTGCCGTAGACGAGCAGCACCGTTGGTTTCGACCAACCGCCTCAAATGTGTTGGGCAAACTGAGTCAGTCAACTGATACGGATCGACCATGCGACAAACTTCCGTCGTGTACCATGTAAGCATCCATTTCTCCGACATTCGGGATTCATGAAAGTAACAGGCGATCACAACAATCGCCGGGATGATGTACAACAAACTGAAAACTCCGATACGCATGATCAACTTCTCCAAATCGTCCGTTTTCGAGCCACCCGTCTTGATGATGGTGCGAATTTTGAATAGGGACACAAACCCGGCAAACAGGAATCCCGTCCCAATAACGAGGTACAAGCACAACGGAGCGATGAGGAATATACGCAGGATAACCGGGTCCGTGAGGCCGGTGAAACAAACCCCGGATAATGGATCACCATCGACTTTGCCCAATGCCAGGATACCGATTGTCTTGGCGGCCGGAACAGCCCAGGCGGCGAAATGTAGATATTGTGCATTACGAGAGATCGCCTCATGTGCCCAGTGGCATCGAGCAGCCAAGTACCACGTGATGGTGAGCACAACCCACCAAATTGCGCTGGCCATCGAGAAGAAGTAGAGTAGCATGAACAGAATGATGCAGCCCTCGAATTTTGTGCCCTGAGTGATTAGACGAGGCATGTCAATTTGACCTTTGAGTTCTGGCGGAGCGGGAAACGGACCTGAACAGGCAACCTTGTGCGAGGGGAGAGAGCGAAGAGGAATTCCGTCAACAATAATAGTGATAGAAATGAGAATACTGATAAGATAGTTGCATTTTAGACGAAGAGTCAATCAGACAATCATTAACTGTTGACCACTAGTGTGCGCCAACTGGATGCAACATGTACTATGTGCCAAATGAATGTATAAATGTCGTTGTGATTAGTACTCAAGGTTTTTTGGATCGTGTGTAAGACTCACTAACAGTGTGATCTCAATGAAAGTAATCGTGGCTCCTATATCAAAACTAGAAACGCTTTTGTAGCAACTTGCCGTTGTGATGTAACATACGACTTATAAGGCTACTGACAACTCTTCGACCGCCCACGACCGGTTTCGCCCTTGTTGGAACTCGCCAGGTAGGCGCCGTCTCCGAGTTTCCGTCACAAACGAGAGATTCAGCTGGGTTCCAAGTGAGCCTCCGTCAAAAACAAATTGGTATGTATTTCGCTGACCGCTTCCTTTGTTCTCCTCCTAGTATCGGTCGCAAATATTTGTTCTCAGATAAGTCGCTAACACCCGCCACACCTTTCAACGGCGGGTAAGAGGAATCCCCAACTCCAAATATACGAACATCTGGCTAAACAGGTACAATGCTAATTGGTGTCGGACCACTAACCGCCCCCACCAAACTAATTGATCGTACGACCTCCATCTTTACGGTAAAAACAAAAATATGTGGTCATCCGATTTGAATGAGTCATTGATAAAGAATAACATAAACTTGATCGAGCTTGAGCGGGAGCCGTTGTTTAGAGAGACTAACAGCAGAACACCGTTGTGCCGCGAAAGTCTTGTGCACGAGGGATCACTTTCTCCATTAGGGGAAGAAGTGTGCTAGGGTGGGAGGGAACGGGTTGTTTAAAACCGGTATCCACATTGCCCACCTTCCCCAACAGCGAGAAGTGTCTAGTCGGTGACGCGCTGTCGTCAAACCTCTCAATCTATGCGATGCAGTTATGATGGCGTGGGTCAGAGGGGAGAGTCCGTCTTGGGTCGGCCCCCAACGACGTAAGCTGAAAGCATCCCTAGTATTTTAGCATGCTGAACCGTGGGGACAGTGATAAGGTCAGCAGTTTTGAAATTCCTTTTGAGTGACTGGATTTTGAAGAGCTGCGACCCTGTTAGGCAACAAACCATCGATGTGGAAGGTTCCTTGTAAATAACAAGATGGAAAATAAATGAAACGCTCAGCTGTAACAACCTTCCGGTGCCTAGCTGCCATGCTACCTGAAGGAAGAACGAAGGCTAGGATACTGCCAGGCTGCCCAAGCCTAGACAGGAAAAATCGAGAGGCAGGGGTTGGGTTCGAACTACGAGATAAGGCTGATGGAAATTTACCGATCGATTGTTCTCTCAGCGAAGCTAATCAGATGGGGAAGCTCCGAGATTCCGACCTACCCGAAGCCAATTTGAATATGTAGAATGGAATCTGATCACTAATTCCAAGGCCGTTGGGGCAATCACTTTACAGTCTAGCAAACTGCTTAAGCAGCGTGCTCGGACAAATTTGTAGCCATGAAATGTGCCAGGCGGCTCAAATGCTGAACAAAAATTGTTTTTTTTTAATAACAAGATACAATGTTCCTCGACATAAACTGAATTCAAGCAGGTTGACGGAAACTCGGTGAGTGCGCCTATCTGCTGAGTCCAAAAAAGGGCGAAACCGGTGGTGGGCTGTCGAAGAACTTTCAGCAACCTTATGAATAGTGCCGTGTCTATGGATTCAATTCACTCACAGGACGACTGAATATCACCATATCCATCAAGTGAAAAATGTTCGGGACCGATTGGGAAGTAATCGTCTCAGAGGTTTGGTAAACAATCAGTGGATTTGTTGCTGGGCAACGTTTCGCTCTCCACACGTTTGCAAGTTCTATCCCCTCTATTCAATTCAGGCTGGGATGCTGGCGATTTCCAATGCCAACCCCTCCCTCCTAACCAATCTATCGTAAATGTCCCCACTAACCAAAAAACAGCAACATCAGACTGAAAACCCAGCACAGATCAAGTCGGCTAGTCATAAGAAATCTCACG